TCATAGACACAGCATACCACTATGTGCTTCAAAAATTAACTCATGGCCAGAGCTGCATTACTCGTACTGGTACTGCAGTACGAACTGCAGCGATTTTGCAAAAACTGGTACTGATACTGAATTACTCTTGCAAAATTTTGCTAATACAGGTACTGCATTTATACTATCTTAAAACGTGGTACTGCTACTGCATTACTCCTTTACTAGGCAGTACTTTTGGTTTTGATAAAAATAGCATCAATTCTTTTTCATAAAATAAAGCTATTTTTTTTTCATTCCAGAGTGTGTTCTACTTTCAGTATTGAAAGAAACCATTTTTTTCTTAATTTGACATGAAAAAAAATGCATGTAATATTACTATATTATAATATTAGTCCCTTTTGTTACTATTTGTATATTTGTTACAATTATAATAATAATAAAAAAACAGACTTTGATATTTTTATCATTTTATGTTACTGACTACAGTAGTGACACACACAGAACATAGTACAGTCATGTCACATAACATTTACAAGTCTTGTAAGTCTTGTTTGTATTCAATGGAATTACTTTCCTTACCAGGTAGGCATCAGTGAAAGCATTTTTTTATATTAAATATCTTTCCCCTCTTTTTAATTATGGACAGTGCACAAGATAAGTATAATTATGCAAAAAATGGTTTACAAAACATTCGGAAAAAATCTACAATCTGAATATAACATGACCTGTGCGTAGGAATAATTTGGTATTAATTAGCGCATTTTTTTTTGCGCGGAGCTTCTCAATTACTGCAATGCAGCAACATTTGTACTTGTCAGATATAGACTTTTAAGATGCAACAACTTAATGTAATTAAATATGGTAAAACAGCTTCAGCGTTTCGTGTAATGTGCACGTGTCTATTAACATTAATTAAGGATAATGTCCCGTGGTATCATTAATATGCATCTGCACGTTTTCGCGTCACGCCTTTCTTAAGATAATTCTTAATTTAGATTGTACTCGCATTTTCGAAATAAACTTGTATTTGTTCATTCATTTAACAAATGTCTGTGTTAAGATATGTTTTATTGTAATAAAGTGTATTACCTGCTATTTTTATGTTCTTTTACATAACGCAGATGCATTTTGAAGTGTCTCTATGTATGCTGCAGAAAGTTAACGACTTGCACAAGTGTATTAACTTATTATATAAAGTAGTTTATTGCACGTTAATACTAGTATTATATCATTCCAAAAAGCCTGTCTTTAAATCGTTATGATAAGCACAGTGATAGCAAAATAATATGTGTTTTTTATGTCTTATGGTATCATTGAATCCAGCACTTTAAATGTTAAAACTTAGCTACCGCTCAAACCGGTGTTAGGGAGCGTGGGGAATGTTGCATTTTTTCCATTATCCCTCATGTACAGATTGCAATTTTCATGTTATTTTGTTTTGATTAATGCTTTCCGGGGATCACCCTTTTTACTCAGATTTTTACAGTATATTTTTAATAGTCTTGCTGATGATATAGTTTTGAAAACAAAAACTTTTATGGATAAATAAAGTTGGTGCCATTGTAAGCTAACAAAAGCAATATTTATCGCCAATTTAAATTACTCAATTATTGTGTCTTAATATTTTTACATTGTTTCTTTCTATTGCTCTGAAATGACCATCGATATTTTAGAATTTAAACAGTGAAAGATAATGATAATAGAAAATAAATTAAAAAAGATTTGTTAGCGGATGGTAACCAAAATATTCGATGTTGGTCAATGCCAATAAATTGGCACCATTTGTTCATTGAACTGACTAGTCTAAACAACAGCTTAATGTAACCGACATGTATTTTATATATTGGTAACAACAATATTATCATTTAAGCAAGCCCAGAAATTAAAATTTAAATACTAGAAAACTCATCAAATAACTTTAAATTTCAAGTAATAGTTTTTTACGGCACAAATTTTTGCTTTGGTCAAAAACACCCAGGGGAAAAAATTCAAATTCCAAATTTTACCTTAAAATACCCCTGCCCAAAATTCTTGTAAAAAATTTTTGCCCAATTTTTTCCTTATACACATAATTCTTTGTAAAAAACGTTTCACGCATGTGCCCGGGCTTTTTTTATTCTTAAAAATTTAAAATGGATTGTGTCCACTGTAGAATTTTTAAAAACAAAAAAAAAGAATTTTAAACCTTTTGAGTATAAATAAATATGAATCTAGGGGGAAACCCATTACTTTTTAAATGTCAGAATATTTTGAAAAATATTTTTTAAGAGTTTTAATTGAAATTTGGCATGCAGAATTCCTTATCTAAAGCCCTAAATTGAAATTTATCTGCGAATTCCCCGATTTTTAATTTTTTTCTTCCCCAACCCCAAAAATAAAACATAGTTGATTTTGGTTTAATTTTTAAAATCTTAAAACATCTAAGATTTTGGGTCAGTGATTGAACACAGGGCAAAAAAATAATAAATCAAAAAAAACGGGGAAATTGTGCGAAATTTATGACAAAAATAGTTCCAAAAATTTTCAGTATTGAAACAAAAAAGAACTAGACACCAAGAAATCTGAGGGACCGCAAAACAAACTTGGGGTTCGGCCAGGTTTAAAATTTTGTAAAATTTGCGCAAATTTAAATTTATACACGTATGTACTTTTTTTGTTTTTAAATTTTTTATCGAAATATAAAATTTCGAAATAAGGGTTTAAAACAGAACTACATCTTTTCCTGTACTTGGTATAATTCACTTATTTTCAAAATTTTCTGCCTGTACTCTATTTTGTATTTAGGGGTATTTCACAAAATTAAAAGTATGTTTTAAAAAAACCAAAAAAAATTTTTTACTTTTTTACACAGCACACAGGGCACTTTTTTAAATTTTTTTGACATGTCATCCGACTTTCAAGAAAAAAACCGAACCAAACATGGAAGATTAAACCAAAAATTTATTTTACAAAATGTAAATTTATTACAATCATAAAAGTTTTTAAAAAGAAATGACAGGCGCTGTTTAGTTATCATGAACCTTTTTCTACCCGGCCCTGAAATGAATAAAAAAAGACTGGATAAAATGTACATAATAAAAAGCAAAAGAATTGTAATGCTTGTGCATTGGATATATGAATGATAGTGCTATTCCCTTAATACTGTTGAATTGTTTCTGCGCAAATAGAATAAATGTATAACAAATATTAAGGTCGACTGAAGGAAACTTCAAACTTATTTAAAACCCTATCGAATTTGGTCCCTGAAAATAATCAGTTTTTGTGTATAATAAATACATGATGGTTAATGGTTCTTTTTAAAATGATAGACATTCACTACATTAACATCGCTTCAACTGTATGGACTTTGAACTTACCATGTGTTACATGCAATGTCGTTTCATTTTAATGAATGTCTTTCAAGATTTTGTCAGCAATATATAGTACTTACTCCGCATGTATAATTATATAATGTGTTATTAACTTTACCATGCTGTATGAATTCCACTATCGCAGTACACACTCATGATTCCAAAGGATGATCCAAAATCTTCGTCATCGTAAGTAACTTCAACATCTGCTACAAGGAGTTCAGGCTCACCACAATCTGCGAGGTCGTCGGTGTTGTCAATATATCCCACGCAAACGCCATCATTTACATCATTGGTATAATCATCATCTACTACAAGATCGGCATCATCTTTGAGCATCATCTTGGTCATCATTTACATCATCGGTTTCATCATCATTTACTGCATCATCGGCATTCTCATCATCGGTATCATCATCTACATCATCGGCATCATCATTTACTGCATCATCGGCATCATCATTTACTGCATCATCGGCATCATCATCATCGGCATCATCATTTATTGCATCATCGGCATCATCATTTACTGCATCATCGGCATCATCTTTTACTGCATCATCGGCATCATCATATACTGCATCATGGCATCATCATTTACTGCATCATCGGCATCATCATCATTGGCATCATCATTTACTGCATCATCGGCATCATCATTTACCGTATCATCGGCATCATCATTTACTGCATCATCGGCATTATCATCATCGGCATCATCACTTACTGCATCATCGGCATCATCATTTACTGCATCATCAGCATCATCATTAACTGCATCATCGGCATTATCAGCATCGTTGTCATTCTTTTTTACAACGCTATCATCACCAGGGTTCCCTGTGTCTAGCATTTTTTCTTCTTTATTTTCTGGCTCATTATATAACCATACAATTTCTCTTTCCATTCTATAACGTGGTTCACACCCATGCTCCCCACAAGTACAGAAACTTGGATTGAATTCCTTTGTGATTATCTTCATCTTTGGTGGTGTCCCTGGATTTGCTGGTTCTGAAAAAGAAATCAAAACATTCAAACATATCAATGACAAATTGTTACTTTGAAAACATAATCAATGTTTAAAGGAACTCCACTGAGGTTCAAATGCCTAAAAACATAAAATTTCAAAATCTAATGAATATCAAGTGAAGCTCTTTAAATTGAAATATTTGGTAATGATAACAAAGAAACATTCTCAGAAATAAATTGGAAATCGATATTTGTTTTGAGCAGAAATCGTTGTAACGCTTATTATTATTATTATTATTTTGGTATTTTTGCACTATAAAAATGTTCATTCTGGAAAAATGAGAGAAAGAGAAAGCGAATGAGTTGAAAATGTGCACACAAATAACTGGTCTAGACGTACATCAATTGGTACAAAAATCCCGGAAAAATATTTCCAGTCCTGTCATGTCTTGCTCGTGACATTTATTTTTCAATCGAAATAAGCGACTATAATATTTTCAATAGTAATGCAGTACATGTTTTTAAGTAAGTAAGTAAGTAAGTAAATAAATAAATAAATAAATAAATAAATAAATAAATAAATAAATAAATAAATAAATAAATAAATAAATAAAAATGAAAAACAAAAAAAAAAGGAAAGAAAAGAAAAACAAAACTCGACAAAAATAAGGTAACGTGCTGTAATATAAAGTTAACTTACTGTAATGGATGTTATACAGAAGGTTTGGTTTATACCAACTGTCCCTCTGATCTTCCATACCCTATTCCGCGTAATAATTCCGAAACATTGTCAAATAATGGTTGTATTTTGCTTGATTCAATTGTTGCTACTGCCACTCTGGACATGTGACGTTATGACGTTATATTGTAAACGTAACAATACATATACGTCATATAATACTGCACGTAAGTAACGTCGTTTTTCATTGGATAATCATGACGTTTATTTAGTTTTTATAATACTGCATGTTAGTAACATCGTTTTTCATTGGATTGTCGGGTATATTTTAGTTATAAAGATTTTTGACAGGTTATATGGCCGTATATAAACTGGTGTTTGGAAATATAACTCGAGCCGCTGGGCGAGGGTTAAATTGCAAACAACAGTTTTTATACGGACATATAACCTGTCAGAAATATTTATAACGGATTTTTAATACAGCAAGCATCTTTTTTAGAGAAAAGGTGAGATTTCTTCATAATTTGACAGCAGTGTATATAAAATTTATAAACGTCACGATTATCCATTGAAAAGTGACGTTACATACCTGCAGTATTATAAAAAAAAATATTTTTTATTCTTATAAGCATGCATATATTATCATTGCAATTGGTAATGGAAAATAAGAGATGTGTTTAATTTTGATAGGTACTTTTAGGCAACGTCTATAAGGCATTATTCTTTAAAGTAATACATTTATCAAATATAGACATTTAAGATGAAACAACTTAATGTAATTAAAGGTGGTAAAACAGCTTCAGCGTTTCGTGTAACATGCACGTGTCTATAATGTCTCTCGGTATCATAACGCAGCTTTGTTAATATGCATCTGCAGTTTTAACGGCACGTCTTTCTTAAGATAATTCTTCATTTAGATTGTACTCGCATTTGCGAAATAAAATGTATTTATTAACTCATTTTACAAATGTCAGTGATGTATGTCACATGAGTCTACATTTGTAAACAGCATTTTGTTTCACTGCTACCTATGGATCTTCCCCTGTTATATTTCTTTTATTTTAACCAACCTATGAAAAACTTTAACAAGCGTTATGTTGTAAAAAGTACAAACATTGAAGTCTAATATTCTACCTTTTACTCTCCACTTAAGACTGTTTCTTCCTTCTTAAATGTCTTCTATAATTACAGTTAGCAGCGTTTTGTTATAAAAAAAGGTACATTGAATTTCAATAGTCTACTTTTTCACTTGAGACTTTAAGTTTTTATAGTTACAGTAAGCAGCGGTAATTTTTTGCCATGTAAATTTCTTCCAAAATCAGCAAATACTATCATTTAATGAGACGAACATGATATAAGATGTCTTTTTAGGTAAAACGTTGGACTGTGAATCGGTCGGTCCGAGTGCGATACCCGAACGGTGCAGGAAATTGCAGGAAATTGTTCATACGGTCATGCATAGTGTACCTCTTCTCTGGCATGTGCAGAAGTTATCCGTTCCTTGCGAAAGTTAAGTAATCGAAAGAGCATCGAAACACGAGGCTATCTGATTTATACGAGGGGGCGTAGCCCCCGAGTATTAATCAGATTGCCGATTTTTTTTTGATGTTCTTTCTCTTTTGTATCATAGTCAAACATAAAAACACGTCCCCTGTTGTCGCAAAATGAAACCCTGGAGAAAAGTAACCAATGAACGAGCATCTGAATATGATATTTCTGTCGCTTTCCCTTTCACTGCCGTCACAATATGTAAACCCCAGCAAAAATGAACCAATCAATGGACATGCTCTAGAGTGCGGGTAACTGATACCTACACTCTAGTTAACGCACTGTGCATGTATATGTATACGATTTAACTCGGACACATTTTCAACAGAAAGGTCCCCAAACTATGATACAAGGCAACTATTACTGGTAAACTGCTTGACAGCCTGCCCAGAAACAATGCGGTGGCTGAGCTGTGCCCTGTTAAATTCAATCTGGCTTACTGCCGTGCTACTGAGTGAAAAATACCTACATCATCTCCACCACCACAGCAAGTACCTGTATAGAGTGTCCCATTTGTTGCCGTGAACAATTTCCTGTATTACTTCACGGGAAACAATGGTAACCAAACAATGCTTACTGGCTGTCTGTGTTTAGATGTTTTAATGTAATAAAAGTGTATTACCTGCTATTTTTATGTTCATTTTCATAACGCAGATGCATTTTGAAGTGTCTTTATGCATGCTGCAGAAAATTTACGACTTGCACAAGTGTATTAACTTATTATATAAAGTAGTTTTATTGCACGTTAATACTTGTATTATATCATTCCAAAAGTCTGTGTTTTAAACGTTATGATTAGACACAATGATAGCAAAATAATGTGTTTTATGTCTTATGGTATCATTGATTCCAGCACTTTAAATGTTGAAAATTGAGTACCCCTCAAACCGGTGCTAGGGGGCATGAGTGATGTTGCACTTTTTCAATATTCCTCATGTACAGATTCAATCAAACCGAGTCTGAATTTTTTTTATTTCATTTTGTTGTTGTGATTTATGCTTCCAATGGATCACATTTTTCCAAACTTTTACCGTATATATTTTACTAAACTTGCAGATGATATATTTACCATAATCGTGTTTTAAAACTAAAACTTTATAGATAGATAACGTTTGTGCAATTGTAAACTAACAGCAGTTGTAAAATATATCGTTTTTTTTTCTTCAAAATACTCAATTCTTGTGTCTTAATATTGTTATATTGTTTCTTTCTATTGCTTTGAAAGGTCCATTGATGTTTTAGAAATTTAAATAGTTATAGATGATAGTAAATACAAGAAGCGGTAGATAACCAAAATATTCGATGTTGGTCAGAGACACCATTTGCCTCTGAACTAGCTTAATCTGAGATGTATTTCATACAATGGTAACAACAATATTATCAATTGACCAAATCAAACATATTTTAAGTATTTCATCAAATAAAATTAAATTTAGTGAATAGTTTTTTAGCGCACTATGTATTGCATTGGTATATAACTACTCAGGACAACACCATCAAATTACCAATTTACCTTCAAATACCATCTGTTATAAAGTATTTGTATTCAAATGTTTATCATTTATTCTTATACGCATCATGTCGTCTTTACGCATGTGACAGACTCTTTTTGTTCTTGAAAATTAATGGATTGTGCCACTGTAGAATATTTAAACAAAATCATAAAGAATGTCTTAACCCTTTGAGTATAAATCATATGAATCTACGGGAAACTCCATTACGTTTTATGTCAGAATACTTTGAAAAATATATTTTAAGAGATTTATGTAATTGACATGCAGAATTCCTTATCTCAGACCTAAATTGCTATTATCATCGCGAATTCCCCGGAGCATTAAAACGTTTTATTGCCATGTTAAATGTTTGCAGTCTGTTGAAATTGTTTTAATATTTCTAAAGCTTTGGCAAGTAGGATTTTTTTTCAATCTTCGTGTAATAAATTTAATGGAAACAGCGTCTCGGCGACGTTGTTGATGTACAGATTTTACTTGATTTTGAAGAATATATCTATTAAAATTTGCAGACATATGTCTAAAACTATATGTATCTTAATGCACATTTACAAAAACCCTCAACAAATTTTGTGTCTGTTTTTACTCAGTCAAATATCAAAAGGCCATTCATAATATTGCAAAGTTCTGAAGACCTGCAGTTTTCAGCCTTTTGCAGCAGTAATTTAATATAGAGCGGAGTAATTTGTGATTTGACCTGTCTTCTGAATAAGTTCAAGGAGACATATATAACCATTCTATAAATGTGCAGCAAAAAAAACCCAATATCAATTTAATGAAACAAGAAGATAGGTTAGAGGCGCCACACTAAATCATTTTTAAAATGGGCAGCAAAAAGCCCTAACATCAATCTAATGAAATATGAAGATAATAATGTTAAAGGGGACATACACTATCATTCTGGAATTGTGCAGCAAAAAGCCCTAAAATTATTTTACTGAAATATGAAAATATTTTAGAGGTGCCATACACAGATAAATCTGGAAATGTGCAGCAGAAAACTCCTAACATCAATCTAATAAGATATGACATATACAATCATTCTGGTATTGTGCAGCAAAAAGCCAATATGATGAAATATGAAGTGGGTGCCATGAGCTTATTGTTCTATTCATGTTATCAGGTACAATCATACCGGAAATGGAATGTAGGTCGTATGGTTAGTATGACTTATGTCGAAAACTTCTAAAAATGTGGTCATATCGGGAAGCTATTTTTTAAATTGTGCATTGTATGATAATGGTATATTACATAAATATAATCTAGAATCTCGAACAAACGCTATCATAATAATATACACGCATAAGAATCTTTTTTGTGTTCTTTTAAAAAAGCTAATGTGTTGGGATATCATATTAATAGCTTTTAAATGTGCATCTGTACGTTTTGACTGCATACTGCACACCATTGTCGTGATAATACTTTTATTAACTTTTAAGTGCTTTTTGTGCGGAAAGGGAATTGCAGTTCAGTTTTCTGTTAAAGCCAATATCAATTGTGTTGAAAAAGAGAGCTGTGCGTGTTTTGCCCTAACTCTGTACTAATGGTGTAATGTGTTTATATCGGTACTTTTATAGAAATATAGTTTTCTATGTTCATATGAATGACTAATTCTATTTGAAACTTTTTAATGTTTTACCATATGTGTATAAGATAAGCGAAAAAGTGTGTGGGGGTGGGAGAAGAAGAAGTAAAACATTTCAAAGCTTTCCAAAACATTTTTTATTTCATTTTGATTCTAAAGGTATTTTGATTTCCATGAAACCAAATCTTTTCATATATAAATAATTATTTGTAACAAACAATTTAAACATGGAAAATCGATACTTTAAGTATCCAAATAGTATAACTCTCAAAGAAAGAAAGAAAAAAGTTAAATCTTTATACATACAATTTTGAATTTATGTAACATTTTAACATAGCAACAAACAGTTTTCATCACATATTCAGTAATAAAAACTGAATTTAACATGTGCTTTTGTTACATGTTTTAAACCACAATATTCTTATATTATATTCATATAATAATGACAACCATATAGTTCTTTTAAAGAAAATTCTTACATAACAACCTCGAGTATGTAAGATAAGTAACAAGTTGAATAATAATAAAACAATAGTAAAATTCATAAATGCATTTCATGCTATCCGACCAGTTTAAGAGCGGTTCAACTCATTATTATTATTATCTCACAATTCTTTTATAAGAAATAGTACAAAATATTTACCCTTTATACCATCGATCCTATAAATAACAGCAAAATACTGAATTGGATATTCAGCGATTATTTTGCAATTAATTTACTCAACAATAATGCTTATTTAAAGTCTCACTTTTGAAGCCATGTTCACAAAGAAATAAAAAAGCCGGGATCCTGATTTTATCTGCATTGCATTATAATCAGACACAAAGACTTTGATTCAATTTGGAACTCATAAAATACTGCAAATTGGCATATAATAAGCAGATATCATAAGCGTAAGATTCCATAAATAATAAAATAAATTAAAAAGTATATTGATGACAATATAAACAATTCCTGCTCAATATGTGAAGTCATATTTAAAAAAAATCTACTTTTTTCTCTCCCGAAAGCGTCATCAGGTTTTACACGAAAATTTGTCAAGTTTGTATCAAATTTATGAGCATAAACTAAAGACTATTTTGAAATGTAAAACTTTAGACTGATCTTAATCCTTATTAATAAACCTTTGTAAACATGTTTCTAAAATATCTGCTTGTACAGAAATACATGTAACCACTACAAATACATTTTGTCAAGAAAATATCATATTATTAGAGAAATTATAAATTAAAAATTTACTAATCTGGAAAAAGGGTGATCACTCGGAAGCATTTATCACAACAAAATTAGATAAAATTGCAGACTCTGTTTGATTGAGTCTGTACATCACTAATTGTCAAGGATTTCGTTTGTGTATTGTGGAATACAAGAAAAACAGTACACTAATAAAACTCTATTGCCCGACTATGTCTAGTATCACATTGTCTTTAAGAATACTGTTGAAAGAATCACTTTTATCACACTCTTCGTTCGCGACATTATCAGCATGATATGTATCAAAAACTGTGTATATATTTCAAACTATCATTTTATAAATGACAATCATTTATAATACAGGTAACTAAACATTCATAATGCTGTTGGTTTAATATATAAAGTTGTGTTTGGACGTATAGATGGCGCCCCTATACCATTCTTCAAATGTATCACATGTCGACCTGAAATGAAATATTTATTGAAATGTATATAATTATATTATTTTTGAAATTTATATGTCTGTATTAAAGATTATATTTCATCATCATCAAGCAATGTATTATTTCCGATGCCTTTCGTCTCTTATCTTTTACAAACAAATGAACATTTCGCTAAAATCATTGTTAAATTGTATCAATAATTTAACTAAATAACTCATTTACTTTATTAGAATATTATGACAACAAATCACCAGTAATTATTTGTTCCAATTGTATATCGCTCTTTAAATAGCCCTTGTATAAAATAAACCTGGGAAAAGTCCACTAGCTCCTTATAAGACAGCGAAAACGTTCTTTCATGTGTTGGCAATGATCAAAATAGTAACAATTCAAAATGCGGCATACCCTTTAAACGTCTTACCGGTATACTAAACAATAAATATCACCATCATGTGGCTTATGTGCTCAACATAGCACCTGTTTGTTTGGGAGCAAAGTATAAAGGTTTTTGGTAACAGATTGTGGGACACAACTTTTAAAGAAAATTGAATATAGCGGTCGTGTCTCTTTAAACATCGGTGTGATAATTACACAAATGCTATTTTCACGATCACCGTTCTTTCCGAATTTTCCAGCAACAGGAAAGACAAGTAAAATTTCAGTCACTTATGCTTAGGTCATTAATTACCTGACCAAGTTGTTTGCTGTGCGACAACAAATCCTTTGCAATCTTGGTCACTATTGCACAAATCTTCGGCCTCTTGTAGATCGAACACAGACACCGTGCATGTTGCCATGGAAAGGGATAACCGGCACCGATAATCATATTGCCCCGGAAGATCTGTATGTTCTAATTTTTTGTAATCTGTGATTAAAAATGCATGTATAAGTTGATCGCGGTCGTTACAGTTATAGATGTAGCAAGCAAAATATGCAATTTTCAGGGTCCGTACTCTCATTGGCTGAAAGGGCGGATGGACCGCCATTAAGCATAGAATGCACTGCAATTGTCATGGTAATGATACAAATAAATATTAATTACCCATAAATAGAAAAGACAGATATAAATTTGGGGTATTTTGAGGATGTTGATCAATAGTCAAAGTCAACCAATTTATTTATTTAAATAATAATTCTATTTATTATATTATTGTGAATAACTTACAAATGTTTTACGTAGTATAAGAGTAGGTTTTCCAAATGGGAAAGGAAATCAAAGAAAGATATACTTTGTCCTTTATCGATAGCATCACAAGTATATTTTGTCATTGTCATGTAATTTATATTCCATATAATATATGTTAGATCGCTTGTTAGTAACAAGATATGCAGTTGAATGTAGGTAGAACTTACGTAATCGGTGTTTGGATATTGATTTTGATCTGTTTAGATACCAGCCCGACTTATACAGAGTCACGATTTTATTCATTTGGCTAAGTAGCTCTTCTGACGTCATAGTTAAATTAGTATATCCGTTCATAACACTGTTTATGATTGGCTGAAGACGGAGAGGTGCACCGTGGGGCAGCAGGATTGTCACAAAATGGCGACCAGCATTAAACAAGTTTCTCTTTTCATTATATTGAACACATCTTCGATGTTGACATAGGCTTCTACAGTAAAAATGCATTCTAAGTTAAATCGATAATCCTATGTTAAAGTTCTAAACATATATTCAACTACACAACAAATTCACCACAGAAACTGTTTTAAAAGAGAAAATAACGATTTTCCCCCACAAATTTCTTTGAAGTAAATGAAAATAAAGCATTTGTTTGCATAAATGGAATTAAAGTATATAGTACAAGCTATACCTTAAATATGATTTTGTAACAAAATTATGCAATGTAGCATTTCAAACTGCGTTGAGACACCACTGAGCTCTAGACTAAAAATAATATTATTCATCAATTGATTATTCTTTTACACAAGTGACAACGCTTTGCTGGCAAATTCAGTGAAATACCATTGAGTACATTGATGAGTATGTAGTAATATCAGTCAAATAAGTTATCTGTGAAAATAACACTTTGAGCTTTATTTTTGCATTATTCTTACCCATTATGATAGAGCATCAAAAAAAGAAAATTTTGTTAATCATATTTTAAATTTTCCAATTAAATTTTGAAGACATCTCATGTATATCTAAGTTTAAAAAAGAAAATAATGATTTTTATATATGAAACATATAAACAGCAAAACCATGTTGAAAAAAATCATATGCTGCAGTCAAAAATCAAAGAATATATGTCATTTTCAAACATACTTTTGAGAAAAATTAGCGCTTGAAAATGTGATGTCACACTCGTTTGAGTTTCGACAATGAGGATCTTCAAACTCTGTGTCGTCTACGTCGGAAAGTTTCAAATTGCCACGAACTAACACAAACTGTTGCCGCCGGAAGTCGTTCATTGACATGGAACCGTACGGTGTTCTCTTCATGAAGTCAACAATCCTTGTTATATCTAAACATACCTGTGAATTTAAGAAAAATGTTAAAGAAGCATGCCTCCAGATTCATGTTAATTTTCATGAAAAATTTTAAAAATGTATTAACAAGTAAAAATATTGTGAAAATATTGTGAAATGATCAAAGTAAATAATTTACACATTGCAATCCACTTTAATTACCAAAAAGATGTCAAAAATAAGCAAGCAAAAAGCCCTTACTGCGTTAGAAACGCAGTCGAAATAAGGTGAGAAATACTGCAAAATCATTCATTAATGGCACACAACATGTAAATTATTACTTGAATCTTAAATCTTTTTTTCTTTTCTTAAAATCTTAGTAAATTTTTCTCAAGTTTAATTTTCTCGGCTCATCTTGAGGCAAGCAGCTAAGGGATACACAGGCAAAATTTTCATTTCTTCGTTTTGAATTCTTCATTCATTTATCTGTTAATGTCCTCAAATTGAATACACTAGGCAGTCACATGAACAAAACTTTTCTCCTGATAAAGAATAATATGATGGTTTCCTAACCTGACCCACGTGGGTCATGTTAGAGCATTTAAGATTTCACAATAATTGTCACAGTAATTATCTGGAGACGTTTAAGAACATGCCAAATGAAAGATTTAGGTTTGTTTTAGTCATACTACATCCACAATATCTATTATTGTAACTTCCACGGTTTGTTCAAGTCACATTACTAGTTTTAAAACTACTCGGTGATTCTGTCGGCGTCTAAATTTCGTTCAACATATATAGATATTTTTACGCTTCAAACCCAAAATATATAGAATTTTTACAGAAATTCATGCTGGGACTTTTACAAATGTCATTTTAGCATGATTCGAGTACATAAGATAATTTTGATATTTTTGTCATAAATTTGCCCGAGTATCCCTTTAAACACATATACAATTCATATGCCATCAAAATGTACAAATATAAAGCATATATCTATTGAAATTTAACTTACTTAAAATAACTTTTATGGACTTTATGTATCGCTATTTATATTTAACACCTGCACAACATTCTAAATGTGGAAAATACATTTTTGGAGAAATATAACCCAAAATGTGCATCTCATATTAATAATGTAAATAATATGAAAGATAAAACTTTATAAGCAATTAAACAGAAAAAATGATGATCTATTTTGAATATTAAGCATTTTTGGAATGTTATGTGCATAATAATATTTTCGTTATAAACACATATCAAAACGAAATTTTGTAAAGTAATCCTTATACTTTAAAATGAGTGTACAGTATATATAAATTGCACTTAATTTTAGCATATTTTACCTATAATGGTCATAATGTAAATGTTCTGAAATAAGCTAAAACATAAACTAATACTATATTTTTAAATAATAAATTCGATTTTTTCTGTTGAATGTTTTTCGGCGATTGACACCTTCTATTTTTCTGCGAGTCAATTTAGTATAAAGACTGTAGCACAAATATAGTGTCATTCAGGAAATTATTCAATACGCATCCAAAATATAGTAGGTGCAATTTCAAGAAAGCTTTGAAAGGTTTCATTTTACCATTTTTGTCATGTTTGTTAAAGTGACATTGGCGACTGATATTCGGTATTTACTGTATGTTTAAACTACATATTGAAGTATAAAAATCGTTCTAAAACCTTTCCGGATGTCAATTTGTGTAGAAACAATACTAACGACCGGTATTTTGTGTCTTGCACATAAGTGTTTCGACAGTACTTGAAAATAATGAGTTTAATAAGTCCAGAGAACTGACACATGTCTACAATAATAGATTATTAAAGAGATCACATTCCATTACAACCATTGTTTTAGGCAATATTGGTTTGGGGCATCTATCAAGCTTATTTCACTTTAATTCATATCAGCTTTTAAGAAATTAAACAACTCAATAGAGAAAACAAGAATCCCTAAAGAAAGTCCAAAACGGTAAAATGTTGCAGGTTCGGCTTGATCGAGCCTGTTCATAGACGGTACTGCCAAGTGCAAACTACCGTCTACGCCCCCTAGCACCGGCTTAAGCAGAATTTAACATTTAAACTCAAGAATGTTTGAAAAACAGACATTTACATAATTTCAAACACATCTGTTCACTTCATCATGAAGCTTTGTAGTGTGTAATATCATAATAGTAAATTTAACACGGAATGGAATTTTAGTTATATCATCAAAATATACGTTATATAAAATTTAAGGGTTTTATTGGTTTGTTTTTATATTAACGTCATTGTTAAATTCATAAATAAGAATTTGGCATTTTGATGTAATCAGTGTTTGAAGTATGAGTTTAACCTGAATACCAATCTGATTTAATTGACAAACATATTCAAAAGATGTATTATACTTATTATGTCGATTTACTATTCTAACGCATAATACTTTCTATGTGTTAATACATAAAAGAAAATGTCATTTCCCATGTCACATGATATTTGTACCGTATACTTACTGCGCATTCATTTGAAATTGACGTCTGCGCAATGGCAATATTATTTTACATGTTATTTATATACACTTTCGCTTGCTGAATATATAATTATAAATGGTACTTTTTTATTTCGCGAACTCTTAAATAATGTACAAAACTACTGTTGTTTAATATTGTAAAAGTTCCAAACTTTGAAAAAATGAAAGAATTAAAAAAGTAATTTCAACATAAGCTGTTTTTTTTCTGAATAATATTTCAAGTTGGTCTTTTATCTTTAGAAATATCGTAATACACTATCAGTACATAATAACAGAACCGTATATCATCTGTGAAAAAAATAAACCATTCAACATTTATTCGCATCTTAGTGCAGGTTTTATTTTTTTTCAAAAGATATGGAATTTAAACCATATGCCATGCCTGTAAAGCAAAATAAATGAATACGTAATCATTGAACACGCTTTACAGAAATGAGCCGCGTCATGACAAAACCCACATAATGGGTTTGCAACCAGCATGGATCCAGACCAGCCTGCGCATCCGCGCAGTCTGATCAGGATTCATGGTGTTCGCTATCAGTTTCTCTACTTGTAATAGGGTTGGTAAGCGAACAGCATGGATCCTGATCAGACTGCGCGGATGCGCAGGCTGGTCTGGATCCATGCTGGTCGCAAACCCATTATGTTGGTTTTGTCGTGACGCGGCTCAAATATATCTGCATCACGATAAGACGCAGACGACCGGATAAGCATAAACATCCTGTGGTAATGTAAACACGTAAAATGAACGCTGCTCGCCGAAATGATTGGCATATGCTTATCATCAATTCGTGTTTTTAAAGATTAACAAGAGATCTACTAGATGACAGAACGCGTTATGGTTTGTTTACGTAAAGCAGCTTATTCTAATCAGCAGACGTCAGACGATGGAGAAAAAAAAGTAAAATGATATGTGAAATAAGTACACTCTGCATGTAGATCTATATACAAATGAAAAAAACTTATTTTACTCGACATTTTCTTTAAAATTTGACAAATTATGGTTAACAAACAATGTTTTTTAAAAGTTTAGTCAAGTAAAATATTTTATTAGCATTTTGGTGATATAATATCCAGTACAGACACGTGAGAAAAATATGTACATGTATATTTTTTACAGCTTTCTCATTTTTATACCTCTGTATATTATTTCAATCAAAATGACATTGTATAATCTAGGTTCAATTCTTAGTTGAATATACAAATTGTGTTTAGGTTACAATGTCATATCAACAATTACACTTCGTTAGTGCATTTCATTATTAATTTGAATTTATCTACATTCAGAAATGAGCAAAAACATTTCATTAAACATGTTATGCTCAAGTCATTTTAATATGGACATACAATTTATCATATAAAATTGATTGTGCCTAAAGTTTTCAGATGAATTTAAATAATATATTTTATTGTTTAATTTGTACAATGGCTGACCGATAAGTTATGAGCCTTGTAAGTAATGGTTTTAGGAAAATATAATGCAATATCGTTCATCAGTATCCCAAGTTATGTCTATATAATTTGTCACATATATAAGTTTCAATGCCTAGCTTATGTTCTTGATTGTCGAGAGTCAGTAAGTTCTGTAATGCAATGATGACGCCATTATTAGTCAGAAAACAGCCGTGTGCAAGAAATCTGATAAGCGAAAAAAATCTAATTATAAGCGAGATAAAGCGCTGAAAGGGGATCGGATCTTGATTGAATTAAAATCTTCATTTATACATTCTAGTCAAAGATAGGTCAGGCGTATAAACTGAACCATTGTCAATGATTGTGACAAGATGAGTTACTAAATTTTCTAACATGATTTCAATTCGCGATATTTTATCTGAAATGACAAATAGCAGTTTTCTTTGATTGACGATACTCCCATTTGATGATAATTTGATGTAAATGATATCACCAGTATATCAAAGAATTGATGGCATACCCTTCCAAAGCTTATAGTTGAATTGAAAACTCATTTTAATGATAAAATGACGGATTAGGTTGCATAAAACAAAAACAATATGACTAGAAATTATTCAACTATAACATGTTATCCTTGAAAGAAAAAGTTGTGGAATATCCATTTTCCTTGCATTAAATTGTTTTTTCTATTAGTTGTATAAAGTTCATAATGCTACCTTGATATATACCCAAATAAAATATGACTTGTTTACAAATTCACTATACCTCATAAATATAAGGTCAATAATACTTATGATATCACAATTTTGAAAAAAATGACGACGTTTTCAGAGAAAAGGAACCCGCACCGGTATATCATCGGTGGTCTGAAAACTAGCTAGACATCAAAGTTCCTTGCGAGGTTCGAACCAAATGTGACTTTGGGACAGTGATTCAAACCATTCAGCAAACCTAAAAATGATTAACTTTCAAGTATATTATAACAATATATCGACCAGTAAACAAATAACATGTAATGTAATTGGTATTGTGAACAGTGTATGGATGTTCCAGTCCCGCAGAGAGAAACATGCATGCTCTGGAATATTTCAAACGACTGTCTATTGTTTGAATTAAGCCGTGCGTAGACAGATTATTCATGCGAAAAGTGACTGACTCTGTTTACCTAGACGATTGTATTCCTCATAAGATTGGATAGGACCCTTTATCAAAATGCTCTACATTAGTTTGATCTATCAAATATTGAACTATATTCAAAGTATTTCTCTATGTAATACGTAAAATATACGTATATTTATCATAAAACTAATAAATGAAGTATTTATGAAATGAAATGAAATGCATATTTTCATTTTCCGTATTCTTACGTCAAACAATATTAATTGTTATGCTTATTTTTTTATCAATTATTTGAAATATACATCTATATGTTCTAAAATTATTGTTTTCCCACTACTGAGGCCCTAATGAATTAATGGTTTTAATGTTTCTTTGAGTTTAAAGTCACGGTATACTTCAAAAGCGAATACATTTTCATTTCTTTAGAAAGGGCAAAAATGAACTTTATAACTTTGAGATAATGTCTTTAGAGCATGTTAGATGCTTGCTACCTGAAAGAAGTAGCGCTTAATGTGAAACAATTTTGTCACACATGTAGACAATGTAAACAAAATAGTTTTTTGTCTTCCATACAAAATGATACAATATACTAAATCCCTATAACTGTACTAAAGGCCAAAAAGCATTAGGAGAAAAACAGTGTTCATGTAATTGACCAATATGTAACGTTTTGCAAATTATAGAAGTACATCAAAATAAAAGATTAAGAAAAAGCATTTCTGGGGCATAATATGGCTTTTAACACGAAATTGTACATTTTCGACAATTTAGATTTGTACGAAATATTACTGTCCTTTACCATAGGCTTAGATTGAAGTAAATACTTATTTACCTACCAAATTGAAATTTCAATCAAGATTTTTATTAAATTGCACTTAATAAACATAAGACTTACAGATATACTTTATTTTGTTGTACTTAGAGTCTTTTTGCTATACAAATCACGAACAAATTTGATTTATTAGATCATCTCAAAACGTCTGTTTCATAGACGCCAAAATCACTCCACATTTCCCAAATTTCTGGCGCACTGCGAACTCCCTCGATGTAGAGTATGCATCTATCATACAATTAAAACGCTGAGTAATTTTCAAGTAAGCGCAACAAATGTCAATTTAGCTTATTACTTATTTACTGTGCGGATAAACCAAACTGACAGGGGAATTTATCACCATTTCCCCTGTTGATGTAAGATGGGTCTTAGATAATGAAAGAAATATGTTTTCTTTTCCAGTTTGGCATTTAATTTTAAGCTCTATGTAGTTTCCTGGAATTTTATTCATATTTTGTATTCATTTTTTCCTAAATACTTTAGCTCCTTGCGATATTAATATTGCATTTAGTTACGATACGAGTAATGTTTTGCAGATCAGAGCTTGCATACACATTTTGCAGGTTTTTTGTTCAGATATCATAATTTCCTACTTATTTATTTATTTCTATGCATTTCCTATTTCATTGAAAATTTCGTTTATAAATAAAACATGTGGCATGCCGTTATTTTGCTCTACCCAATGTTCAGAATCTATCTCCGCGCTGGTTTCTAAACTGATATAAATCTTGAATATTTTAACTTCTACTGCATTACAATTTTAAATAACGATATATGATATAATCATATGTATACCCTGGACGCAAAATTTATTTCAAGACAAATTACTACTGTAATGATTGCTTTATATAGAAAACAGTTATATTATATTGATCATTATGATTGCTTTATATGGAGAATAGTTATTATATTGATCATTATGATTGCTTTATATGGAGAACAGTTATTTTATATTGATCATTATGATTGCTTTATATGGAGAACAGTTATTTTATATTGATCATTATGATTGCTTTATATAAAGTACAGTTAATTTATATTGATCATTTTGATTGCTTTATATGGAGAACAGTTATTTTATATTGATCATTATGATTGCTTTATATAAAGTACAGTTAATTTATATAGATCATTATGATTTTATTGTATAAATGTTTAAACATATTTGACTTCAAATAACCTTATCTTAGTAACAAGAATTTTAATGAGCGTATTTTCTCTATAAATTTTCTCCCCTATGTTTTGTCTGTAAAACATTAAAGAGTGTATCATTTTAAATATGATGATACGGTATTTTTTATAATTAGTATAATAATGTTTTCTTGAAAGTCCTTGATATTTAATTAGTATACATGAAGCATATTCATATTATATTTGTAAAAACTTAATTATCATATGTATATTTATTATATAACTGAGTTATGAAATAAAATGCATATTTTTATTTTCCATATTTTCTAAGTAAAACTTTATTTTTCACTGCAGTGAAGCATATTTTCCGTATTTTCACTGGTGTCTTGCCAGAATACTTTCTTCTTATTTCTTAAATTCAGCAAAAACAAAAGAGGAAAAGTATATAACAAACAGAATATCTTGTGATATGAAAATCACCATATTTCATCCTGAACGATGAAAATAAATATATTACTGTATTTATAGAAAAAAAAATCTTGAATATCCTTTATATAGTTCATTTCTTCAAAGTGAAGTTTTAGAGGAAAAAAAATTTGGTAAGAACAATTAACTGTTAACTATTCGTATGTTGTTTATCACTACAAAGTAGACTCACTTGTGACATTTTTGCATAAATTTCGCCTGACCACCATTTACTTATATTATATCAGTTTTTATATAACATTTTATTCTTATCATACAATATCATGATTTTAACAAGTATTGATAGACTAATTCAATTAGTTGTCAAACACTCGTTCTTCTGTTGTTTTTTCTCCAATACCATATATGTAACATTGTTGTTTTCCAATGTCAATTAAGATCATAGCATTTCCAATACCTCGTGCACTTTTAATCAGATATTTTGCAATTAAAATCTCTATTTTCCCCGCTAACCTAATGGTCTCTCAAAGACAATAACTGTTCGATGACAAGATTTATTTCTAATTATACTTACTTTAAGTCTGTCTTCCCATGACATCTGTAGCAATCTTATTAAATCCACGGCTTCTCCTAATTCCGTTACCATGGCAACAAATTGATTGTCGTCTGCATTACTAGGGAGACAAAAGCCAAGCACCTGTAGAAAAAAATAGAAGGATATAATTTGTAGAATAACAACATAAGATAGAGAACAATCAATAGTTATCAATAAAGCTTATATTTTAGTGTGTTATTACTATTACCACAATTATTTCTAAATCATATCAAATACATAGAGGATATTCAAGTTTTTTCTATAAATACATGATTTATTTTCAACGAGTGGTATGAAAATAAATATTTCATGAGTGGCGGTAGCAACGAGTGAAATATGGAAATTTTCATGCCACAAGATGAAAATAAATCATGTATTTATAGAAAAACTTGAATTTTCTGTTTATTATATACATTTTTCTCTTTCTGGACATTAAAATTTGCAATACTTTCTCTTAAATTTTGAGTACTGGCAGAATTTAAAAGAAAGTAGTCCGGCAAGACACCAGTGAAAATACGGAAAATATGTTTCACTGCAGTGAAAAATAAATTTTTACAGTGAAAATACGGAAAATGAAAATACGCATTTTATTTCATCAATATTTCTCAATATTTCATTTAAAAGTATGTAATAAACAATCATAATTATACAATATATATTTCTATAACGCATTCTTCAAAGGCTGGATAATGTATATCATATAGCTAAAAAATGTATATTATTTTTCAGGTTTGATATCGAATGACCTTAAAATAGCATGATTAATGTGATGGATCTGAAGTGAAGGATACAGCTGTAAATTAAATAATGACGAAGTATTCTAAGAATAATTGATATTATATTCAATTTCTCTATTCCTTGTCTTGGAACATTGATAGATCTTGTTTATAACTTATAAATTCTCATCGTCGTTTTCATAAAACCTTAGACCTTATACTCATTCCATTCCTTAGTTTTCAAATTCAAAATTTAGTGCACATACACACAGCTTAAGTTTTAATTTTTGTTTGTGTGGTTGGTTTTACGGCGAACCAACACAGTTTAAGTCATATGACGTCTTTTTTGCTAACCTCTAGTGTAGCAAGCTAAAGTTTTAAATCTTCAGATAAAGAAAAGCCTTCAGATAATATAAAAAAGTTTCTTAAATACAAAAGGCTTATTTTTGTTTGATTTTAAATTTTCCATCCGTTTTTTATATCATACACCTTCAACATTTTGTTGCTTCGATGTGTTATTCTGTAATTTGATCAATTTTGTATGAAAGATGGTCATATCACGTATCAAGTATGAAATGAAAAAAAAGTAAGAAAGTATCCGACCTTCAATACATTTTCCCCGGCTAATGCTTGTAATATCACAATCTCTTTTACAATCTTCTTAGCTGCTTTCACATAGCATGCTGACTGAGACATTCCTGTACTCATACAAGTTGTTACATCTTGACCTTTCACATCAATTGTCTTTATGGCGACAGGTGTCCCTTTATATAATCCTTTATATACCGCTTTTGTCCAGCCAGACGCCATGTAAGTCATGTCGGATATGTTTGCAATATCATCACAGTACAGCTGTCGATCAGGAAAATACTTCTCGAAAGAAATTTCCGGAGCGTCGTTAGGAAAGGTTTTCTCTAAATTGCTCTCCAGTATATCCATTAACTTTCTTAATTTATTTTTGAACACAACCTTCTGACTTTTACGAGAATTCAATTTCCTTTCCTGAAAGACATTGTTTTTTATGTCACCATTTCCTAGATTAGACACGAAAGTCGTGCCTCCCGGATCGATGTTGTTTTCCCCTTCTAAGTCGGCGCAATTCCGTTGAAATGCCATAATATTCATAAACAGAAAAAATAATATCACAATACAGCTATAATATAACCCGTGCCGCCATATATTACTCCGATATGGTCTTTTGAATTGCCGGAACATGTTGTGTGTATTTTTGACTTTCCTTTTTTTAATTTCAAAAAATTCTATTTCTGAAAAAGTATCGCGACTGAATGCCTTTAATAGCTCGTTTTATATATTCCATCGGCTTTTCACAAAAGTGTCCTGAAAATAAATAAATAAGAAAGTATTAGCTATTTTCAATTCTTCCCGTGAAGCTATCAACACACAGCCAAACCAAACAGATATTTATTAATATTTTTTACTGGGTTTACAATTGTACTTAACAATCGATATAAAAAAAACTATCGGCAGTTACACATAAACTTCTTTAAGTAGAAACAATCAATCGTGCCTAGAAGACCTGCTATTCCAACCCTTACTTTATCTTCTATATTCTGCGTCTATATAAGGCGATTAAACGTAGAGAAAATGACAAATGTTAAGCCGGGGGAAATTGATTGTCTATTATCTGTGCAGAGACTAGCTCAATATGGTCGGTGTCGTCTTAGTGTGTGCATCCAATAACAGTCTACTGTAATCGTATATGAGTTACTGCCGATAGTCTCCAGTTTAATTGAACCAGTAGTTTAAAGATTTTAAGGAGGTGCAGACATTATATGATGTTATATGTTAACAATGATGTTTCAAAATTACATGTACTGTGATTTGTTGTTATAAATTAAAAATTTGTTTTTGTGATAATGTTTCCCATGTCTGACAAAGTAAGTTAAAGACAAACACATTTAGTTCCTGTTAAATGCTTTCTCTTCTGGTTTGGGTTTTTATACACATCTAAAATTTTACACAGTAAATATTCACGAGAGTACATGTAGATATTGATGTGTAAACTCTATCGAAATATTTTCTTTTTTATATATAAAAGTCAGGTATTGAATAAATGCAACAATAAACAAACAACAGCTGTTTGCCTGCCAATAATTGCCAAGAAAAATTACAATGCATTACATACATGACATTTTGTTTGTTGTAAGTGAATCTCACTAAAATATCATAATTCTAAAAGGTTCCAAAAAGCACATAGTGCATATGTTAATATTTTCAACAATCTTACTTCGAAGTGAAATATATTCCACATTCTCTAAAAACACATTTTCATTTTTTTTCTTTTACATTATACTTTACATTTTTACATTTAAACTAGTCACTAAAATAAAGTGAAATAATTGGGTAATAGAGACATAAATAGAGAGTAAATATAGAGTAAAATACAGAGTAGAATATAGAAACAGTATATAGTAAATTAAAAATAAAATAACCATTAAAATACAGGTTAAATAAAGATATATAGAGTAAAATATAGAAGTAAATCAAGAATAAAAAATATATTGATTAGGATATAGTGTAAATAAACAGTATTAAAGTATAAATAAAGAATAAAATATAAAGTTAATTTTGAGTAAAACATATGATAAGGATGATTTACAATATATCGTGTAAATATAAAATACATATAAGTAAAAGGTACATTTCACATGTAAGCCATGTCCTTGTTATCTGGAAACGTTAGTTATCCTGTTCAGCATCGTATAGTAAATTTATACTTGGTAATCCTTAAAATCATTGTAAATTAAATTTAAACTTGTTAATCCTAAAAACCATCGTTAAGTAAATTTATACTTGTTAATCCTTAAAACCATTTGTTATACATGTAACATATCCAAACAAATTGCAATCACATTTTACATTGTCACAAAACGATCACGTTCTTAAATATCGTTTTTACCATAAAATATCCTTTACTTTCCGGCAAGTTAAAATATAAATGTAAGTATCAAAATGAAGCGACACCATACACAAATCAGAGGTACAAAGATATTTTAGTCGGCAGAAAAACTAAACGTATTATGTGAATAAAAGAACAGATATGTGAGTCTTTTATGATCATATAAATCTGTTGTTTCCATTGTTTGAACACTCATTCCAATGCTGGCTCTTAAACAACGGAAATAATCGGGTTTTCTTGATATATTTGAGCATAAATGACTCATTAATTTGTCTACTAGGTATTTTGATTGCAGGATTTCCGTGAAGTTGTGGTCCTGAACTAATTTACAGACAGCTTTACAATTTAGAAAGTAGCATATATGGATGTGTTGGGATTCCGGGTTATTTAAGTTATGCATGTCATCGACAGTCACAAAATGACAGTTTGTTCGATTAACCTGTAGATTTAACCACCCCTACCACATTAAATACATTAAATGAGATTGTCCTTCTCTAAATCTGGACAAGAACATAGTAGGGGATTTTTCAAAACTTAAAATCTAACAGTACATGTCATGATCAGAAGCCACAGTTGTGGTTTGTCTAAGGCTGTTTATGAATGTAAGGTAGTGATTAGTACAATGTACCGCCCACACCCCCTCCCTTCCACAGTACCGACTAAAACATTGTTTCAAATTTAAATAATGAATCAATGTTTGTATTGAAAAATGCAGTAATTAATCGTAAATTTAGAATACTATGCGGCTAATAATGCCACCGAGTTGCAAGAACTCAAAAAGTTTTGTTATCAAATAGGCTTGTTTTGAAAACATGCAACACTATTTGTTCTCACGTTTAAATTTGTAATGCAACATGGTACTAAAAATAATTAAATCCTCACCCTCCCTTTCCGATATAAACCCGTTTTCCCAATTTTATAACGTAACAGAACATACTTTTATTGAAAACTAATACTTATATTTTCTACAGTGTGCCAGTGATTAAAGTTTTGCAAAACAAGTCATGTAGTGGGAAAGAGATATTAAACTTTTATGCAATGACACACCAACTATGTACAAAAAAGAATGGCAAAACAAACAAGTAAGCAAAGTTAAATATTACATTTTTTATGACTATATGGTTATAAAATTATTATCATTATTACGTTATCTACTTGTACTAGCTTCCTAAACAATGTCCCTCCAATATTTGTTAATTCATATCAGTGTTTGAAAATTTTGTTTTGTCCAATAGGATTACGGTATATCAAATGCGTCTTAAACAAACAAAATGCAACAACAACAACAACAACATGTATTTTATCTAAACATTTATTTAGTAGCTTACCGTATATTTTAATGAATCGTAACTAATTTAATTTGGTGCTAAATCTGCTTTAAACGACTTGAAATGCGCCGCTTTTGATCAAATATATAATTGTGTTAAAACCTACTAATGAAAACAAACCTATATTTTTATAACGATATAATAATTAATAGAATAATTTATTTAACACTTACTGTTCTTTCCTGTTTATCACAGTCATTGTTTAAGTAATATTTGACCTCATTTCTGTGTCTAACATTCATAAATCTCCAAGAAGCCCAATATGTAATGGGAATATTTTGATAAATATTATCCTAAAATACACCTTTATCAGTAGCTTTGGCTTGACATAAACCGACAAGATTAAAGGTGTATCGCCATATTTTTTCTTTAAACCTTAAATATGTACCGAAATACACATGTTAGTTGTATGGATTCCACAGATTTATCGCAAATTAATAAATCAATATTAATATATTTTTTTAAATGTATTTTTTTTCTTAAAATTATTTCCAATGTACATTTTTACCTTCCTATTTCAACTTTATTTCAAGTAACAACCTAGATATATCAACTAACAATAAGATTTTGAATATTTCTAAAATAAATCCGCAAAAAATGTTACAATTCAAACGGTAGTATCAACGGATATGTTGGAATTGATGATTTAATCCAAATTATGATAATTGTTATTATATTATAAATTGGACGCAATTGAGAAGTTACACTGACTTAAACTATTTCAAGATTTTAAGCGAGTTTTAAACCATTAATAATAAAAATTGCAATATTTCAATGTAATTTTTTTAATGTAAAGTCTCCAAGTTCCACAGTCAATTATCAGTATTTCTATATCTTTTTTTGTAATGTCAAAATCTCTGTTCCAACCTAAAACTTAGAGAATACATCTTGTTGAAAAAACAAACCAACCTTTTATATTCAAAATCTGTAAATGTTTACTTTGCAAAACTTAATTCAACATGTCATCTTTTTTAACAAATCAGCCCATAAATCAAGTAATAAAGTACGTTACGTTTCCGATTAAATGTATAATGGATTTTTCAATAGGGAACACTTGTGAATAGAGAATTACGCGTGTCAAAACTCCGCCCATGTTTAAACAGTGAGCATTGATTTTAATCTACATTATATTGCGATAAATTGCTGATTTTTATCGTCCCTTGCGTAGTTGTATTTCAAAAATGTCAATATAAAAAAATCCTTCAGACAAACCAACTTTCAATAATTTGTTATAGCATGATATGATAAAAAACTTATTTTGTAACTTTAAACTATTGATTGAATGTATTGAACTCCGATAGTAGGACCGTTGCTTAGTATCATGACAGAAGAACAAGTTAAAAAAGTGTAGGTTATTCAATGAATCATTTAATCTAAATGATACAGTTTTTTTTTTATTATTTCATATTGCAATATCTAAATTTCTTTCCCCAGTTGGTTAATGTTTTGACTATAACAGTACTTACATGTGCACCAGGAGCGATAGCAAAATCTAAAGATTTGAGGTGAATAAATGTTAAAAATAATATCTGCACGAACAATGTAATGCATAACATTTGCATGTCTGATGTTGAATTAATTCAAATTTTACACGTGAAAATTTAAATTGAAAATTTGTACCAGGTGCCCGTCATAATACAAGTCAAGCGTGTGGGTGGGATGGACATCAGGCGTCTCTTTCTACAGGTAAATACTTGAGTAAAACATCAAACAAACAAATAAAATAAAAAAAAGATATGGTTTCATAAAAAGTCACGCCTTAAAATGTCCCCCTGTTTCATTCCACTCCAAAAAAGGTAAGCTCAAAGTACATTTTACGCATTTAAAATGATGCGCATTCAGACCTATACAGTAAAAGTATAAAGTATCAAATGCGTACAAACACGTGTTGTAAATTAAATGAATTAATTCTATCTTGACACTTTTGTTGTGGGAAAAGATTCGCATTATGTAATTACAATCGGTTTCAAGATGGGCATTGAAATATGGGTTTTCCCCACTTGTGTGACAAGTATTAAACTGTAATATGCGACATGTCACACTGACATCATTAAATAAAACATACATCTGGTTTTATTTGTGAAGCGTTACGTTTTATGATTTTCCCTCCTTTTTTGCCTTTATACATAGATAAAAACTTTGATTCGTAAAAATAAATTGCATAAAACAATATAATATAGGGTATTTCATAATCTTCTAGAATGATTGTTTATGCTTAGATTTCCCACAACAATATTGTTCGGAAGCAGTGTTGGGTTTTATTAAAATGACCTTATGAATTAAACATTTAAAAGCAATGCATAGGATATTAATTAAATGTTTATGTCATGTAAGTTGACAGATCAGATATTACTTTTATTCATTAGACAGTTTTTTCTTAAGCATAACAAAAAGAAACCTTATTTTCCACAAACGGTCTAAAACATTAAAATGTTATCCCATAAATGACTAATGAAACAAACTTGTTTTTGTGCATTTAATATTCAACGCGTAACATTATAGCAAAGTTTAGTTGAAATTTGAGATAATAAACGCATCAGGCCTGTCAAAACCCTAGACGTTTGGCATGCTAAACTTTAGTGTTTTGTGTAAATTGCATACAGTTAGTGAAACATTTAGTTATCTTTAAACTATGAGGAAAATGGCGCTGATAAAGTATTTTCTTCTTTAAAGAAGCATTATTATTATTATTTTAACTAGTATAGAAACTTTATTTCATTTTAGGTCAACTGTGAAATTCCACCTATTGAAAAGTTCTCCGCTTTATTTCTGATATCTTAATAATAACATTTCAGTTTTTTTTTCTTTCTAGTACTTCTTTAAAAACGAATGATAAATATTAATGTATACAGATGAAGACAATTACTCATATATATATCTTCCATTTTTGTAAACGGACAATAGTAGTCAACTTCATTGAACAAGGTCATTAATCACCAGTAATTGAAAACATCCACATAAACCGTAGATATTAAGCGAATAAAAACATCTCAAATGCATTTATAACGCTTACAGATATAGCTGATATCAAAATAAAAGTTTTCATCAGATAGTTTAAAGTTTATAGAAATAAATACCAAACAAAATAAAACGTACCTTGTATATAAAAATCATTGTATGTACTCCAAATGTTTAATCCACAATGAATCTGCGCGCTTACTTTTCAAAAATATCTAAAATATCGTACAAAACATTCGGCTAGATTTGATATATCCCAGCTCTCGGCGCAGTATTATTTATATATCCATGAGACCAGATACGTTATTCGGTAATTCGGTAATTTAGCGAAACGTCTATCTTCAGTTAACAATACCACACGATTGAAATAAACAATGTTAGGCCATTTGGATATGAAAAAATGATGTCATGATATCATCTGAATAAAGAGCAAAATAATCAAGCAAGATAATCAAGTCGTTTTTATAGAGACCAAATTTACCCTTTAAACTGCTGAATTTCTTAAATATATTTTAATTAACTCGTCCAGCTTCCATTTCGGGAACATTCCATTATTAACTAAATGGGGTCTCATGATGCAAACTTGGAGTTGGTTTGTTTATAGTTAAAAGCCTGATCAGACAGCACAGATGTGCAGGTTGATCTTGCAAAATTTTATCACTTTTGCGTTAATACGAGGCTTGCCTTTTCATCAAGACAATTTCCGAATGAATGTTATAAACATTAGCTAATAACAAAGACCGGCAGTCCTATATAAATTTGTTAAACAAGTCATTTATAGTGATTAAGTATTTTGTATGGAAGACAAAATACTATAATATACTGTATACATGTTGCTACTTTAACAACAAATAATTTCACATTTAGCGCTATTTTCGTCACACAACAAGCATCTAACATGCTAAAACTATTAATTTAATGTTATAGAATTTATGCTTGACTTTTCTAATGAAAGCATTTTTGTTTGTTTCTGAGGCATAATGTTTCTTTAATAAGTTCATGCTTGTGTCATTAGGCAACACACATTCTATATAGAAGGAAACATTTCATCTAAATCATTTTTAAGTGCAAATAGGTTTTGAAAATGTATACCAATTTCATAAGCTATGTACATTGAAATATATTTCTTCTAAAGCATAAATAAGACTGAAGATAATTTAATTTATTTATAACTGTACAAACGAATAGATAACACTATGTCTGCTGTTTGACAATGTGTTTCATTATATATTTGTATATATACATCACTATCCACTTATATCTTGTAATATGAGTATCATATTTATATCAAACATAAATGAGCGTTTCCTAAAGCGATGTCACCGAACGCGATAAGCGTAATTTGGTTGTACAGAGTGATACCACACATAATGTAACAATAACTTTGTGTCTCGTATCAAATAGAAATAATACGCTTGAGCTCATTTCTACAAATATTTCATAAATGAAACAGAGGCTGCAGTTCATAAAAAAGATAATAATCTATTTTAATCTAAACATTATTCATTCATTTTTTTCCACATTTGGCTGAATTTGAATTAAATTCAAAGCAAAATTTGACCATGTTTAACGTTCACACAGATATTGTATGTATTATATATAATACGGTGTGGCTGTCCCGCACGATGTTTCCTTTATAAAAGATGTTTATGCAATTCATAAAAAATATTCTGTTACAACCCAACATACGATAAATTCTTTTTTACCCTTATAACAGATGCCCTGTTACAACCATAGTAACCATATTTTTGTCCGTTTTAAGAGGTCACCTCGATGTACAATACATTAAAGCTTCTATGACGTTATCGATGACCTGATATACTCTTATATACTGAATTGTGCTTGTCGTTAAACCAACTATGTTTCTATCTAACATTATTCTACAGCTTGCCTACATTACATTAAATGTTGCATGACGCAAAGTGTTTTGAAAGACATTTTAAAGAAATGTTTTGAAATAAGATATCATATAATTTTCTTTACAATGAATGTTTTATCCATTATATAACATAGATAAATAGTTTTGGCATCTGTTTAGTATATCAATTAGTGAAGGCGTGTATTAGTTTAACATAACATTTGTAATTCACATCCAGTGAATGAATTTCAACTGAGATGGACAATATGTTTCGAATATTTTTGAAAGACAATGTTTACTGCTCCCGAATTAAATCAGGGGCTCCTTAAAAGGCCTTTTATGCCCAAGAAATGTTTCTATTTTTATTTCTCAAAAGCTTTTTATTTTTGGTGCCCTCTTATAGTTTCAGAAAATTTTACTCATTATCTAATTGTCTGAATAATCAATTTGTTGTTTATGTTGCCCTTTGGCGATTAGAACATTTAAGGTGCTCTAGTATTTTGCATGGAAGTCAAAAGACTACTTTGTTTACTTTTTGCTACTTTTACAGCAAAAAATCTCGCATGCATGTAACAAGCTCTCAAATCATTATTCAAACGTTATAAAACTGATATTTGCCCTTCCGAAAGAAGGCGTTTCTGAGGTATAATGTGCCATAAACATAAATTCAGTGAAGTACCAAAATTCACTTTGTTGTAAAAATAATTCGCTCTTGAATTCTTAATGTTATTTCGTTTGATGAAATGTCATTTTGTTATAAATGCTTATTTTTTCGTCTTAGCGAATTTCTTTTAACCGAATTATCAATTTGTCCGATATTTCGGATAAACGAAATATTTATTTTTTTTTTTCGTAAAAAATATCTTATTTCGTTTAAGGCCAGCATGCCTCCAGATTCATGCTTATCTTTATGAAAAGTTTAATAATATATTTTCTAGTAAAATATTGTAAAGTGAAATGAAAATTGTTGGCATATTACAAACAGCACTGCAACCTACGTAAATTACCAAACTAGGTCAAAATAAGCAAAGATAGCCCTTACTGTGTTAGTAACGCAGTAGAAAAATTGTGATAAATACTGCTACTGCAAAACCATTCCTGAATCCTACATAATATGTACATAATGACTCGAATCTTAAATAATCTTTTTATTTTTCTTAAATTCTCAGTAGATTTTTCTCAAGTTTATTTATTTCTTGATTTTTTTTCATTTGGAGGCATGCAGCTTTAAACGAAATCTTATTTTCATTCTGATAATATGATATAAGATACTCGTACAAACAGAAAAAAATAAGACTTATGTATTGTGTTCCTAGAACGAATCCGTCTGTAATCAATATATAAAAAGTATATCAAAATGAACATTGATAATGCACTATTGTAACTTAAACCTACCATCTTAGTTATATGAGCCGTGTCACGACAAAACCAACATAATTGGTTTGCAACCAGCATGGATCCAGACCAGCCTGCGCATCCGCGCAGTCTGATCAGGATCCATGCTGTTCGCTATCAGTTTCTCTACTTGTAATAGGGTTTGTAAGCGAACAGCATGGATCCTGATCAGACTGCGCGGATGCGCAGGCTGGTCTGGATCCATGCTGGTCGCAAAGCCATTATGTTGGTTTTGTCATGACACGGCTCATATATCCTTTGGTCTAACATTCAAACATTCATAAATCTCCTTGTAACATAATAAGCAATAGGGAATATTTTGACAAATGTTATCCTCAAAAACACCCCTTATCAAAGGTCTCAAGCGACACTAAAGATAAAGTGTAAAGGTGCACAACCTCTTTTTCAATTTAAAAATTTAAATTTGAATTCAGTAGATTCTTTAAAGGCTAACTTTGAAGTGACATTATGCTCATATTTTCATAGTCAAATTGACTTGACTTTATATTTCAAAAGATTGACTGTCAAAATGGTGTTGACCAACAGTTGATATTAGAAAATGTTTAGGATAAAATTATAAATCTGCCTAAAATTAAAAAAGACTGCCCCACTCTTTTTATAAACTCAGCGTTATAGGTAAATTCTAATGGATCTTTACAGAAATTTCATTTGGATCTGTGCGTTATTTATTGTTTATGTGAACTTAAATATTAAATTGAAAGGATTTATTGAAAATTTAAAACTTATTTTGATATTCACTCATTCACTTACTTTATACTCTTGGATGGGCATAATGTCACTTCAATTTTTTATTATTAAAATAAAACATGCATAAGCCCCCCACCCCCACCCCCCGCCTCCCGAAAAAAACCCAAAAAAACAATAACCACCACCACCAAAACACAACAACAAAAAAAAAAGAAAAGAAAAAAACAACAAAAAAAAACAAAAAAAACTAGAAACTGATTGCAGGCTTGATATTTGTTTATCGAATAATAACTTTGCATACACATATTTGCATAGACTGAAAACATGCAATTTACATATCAATATTGCGTTATTTTATCAAATATCAATATTTACTTATCCTTTACTGGCAACAAATATTTTATACGGAATTGGTTTCATATTTATTGATATGCCATTCAAAATGTTCTATTTTCATATAAATACATTTGTGTATGCAAGTGCACTGAGTGTTTTGAATTGATGATAAAATATTTACAATGCATAAAGTGCAGAATAGATAATTGCATAATATTGAAACGCGTTTTGTCAAATTTCAGATGTTCCAGCCATAGATTGAAGGGATTTGAATATAGACATATATTATAAATGGCGTGAATTTTGTCTGGAGAGAAATATGAATACTGTTGAAGATGAGTTTCATTTTTTTAATTGAGTGTCCACTACACAAAGAATTTAGACTGACTTACTTTAGTGATTGTGAACAATTGCTTATAAATATAGATTCTGACATCAGTAGACACAGCATATATATTTTTCCTGGCAAGGTTTCTAGAGAAGTAGAGATTGTGTCTTTCGTGAATTTGTGAATTTACTGTTAAAATATACATGTATCCATTTATCCAATCATATTAATTAAATTCTATACTTAATATGATATATTTGTTATTACTTGTTAACATTTATATACACACATTACTACAAATACCATTTTTTAAGTTATAAACAATAAACCATATCTACGAAAGACGGTGGTGACATTTCAATTTCTTGAATTCTCGGGTTCAACTTCACGAATTCACAATTTCAACATTCCATCATACAGAATTCACGATTTCAACTTTATGTTGAAATCGTGAATACATGCAGTTGAAATCTTTAATTCATAAAGTTGAAATTGTGAATTTAAGAAGTTGAAATTATTCGGGAATTTCGTATAAAACGTGAACTTACGAAGTTAAAATTATGAATTCAAGAAGATGAAATATTGAATTTATAAAGTCGAAATGTCCCCACCGGTCTTTCGTATATTTCTGACTACGTTATCCATGTATTACATTCTTGTATGTAGTTTTGGACTGAGAGCCTTCATCTACAACTAAACTAAACTTAAAATTATGTATTTATATTTTGTATAATT